CGGAGACTGACATCATCTTTCAGCTTTTTTTATTTTTAAAAAGTTTTTAATTTTTTTTCGTTTTATCACGTTACTGAAAAAAAATGGTTTCATCTACATTACTTTTTTTTTTTTTTTTTATATATTCATCTACATTATATACTCATATATATTATTTTTATATATTCATCTACATTACTACGTTACTTACATTACTGTTTGTTTGCGCTGGCATAAATTTATATTTAAAAGCATAAACTACACCTATTTTGTACAGGTAAATTGATTAAAATTGCATTGTGGGTTAAACGACCGAAGCTATTGTTTTTCTATTGGTGGCCGGGAAGTATATTGTGAAACCTTATAGGGTAATTCCATGTCAAAACAACAAGTTATATTATAATGTTATATTTATATCGATATTATTTTATACATAAAATATATATGCGTAACTTATTTTATAATATACATTTTTATCTCTCTCTCTCTCTCTCTCTCTCTCTCTCTCTCTCTCTCTCTCTCTCTCTCTCTATCTATCTATCTATCTATCTATATATATATATATATATATATATATATATATATATATATATATATATATATATATATATATATATATATATATATATATATATATATATATATATATAAATAAATTATGTTAGTCTACAAATAAAGTATATATATAGATATATAAATATATAAATTATTTTAAAACCTTAAGGTACACAAAATATATATATATATGTATATATATATATATATATATATATATATATATATATATATATATATATATATATACATATATATATATATATATACATATATATATATAAATATATATATATATATATATATATATATATATATATATATATATATATATATATATATATATATATATATATAATTTGTCAATCTTTATGTCAAACCAGTCTATAAATCAAGCATTAAATTAGATGGCCCATGTTCTTCCATAAGAGGTCTCAAACATAAAATTAGAATGCAGTGTTTTACTCCTCGTGAAATAAATGAATTTCATGCATCGGTTAGCTCCAAAATCCATTTCTTCACAAACAGAGTTTGCCAAATTTGGAACAAACTAATACACACATATATATATATATATATATATATATATATATATATATATATATATATATATATATATATATATATATATATATGTATATATATATATATATATATATATATATATATATATATATATATATATATATATATATATATATATATATATATATATATAGACCTTTTAACTCTTTATGTTTTACCGTAAGACTCACGGTTTTATAAAGAATCTTATGTCAAATCCAAAAATCTCAAAGTGAATTTTAAAAAATTTCAAAAGATTTTCTTTTTAAATTTACTTTTGCTCAAAGCAATATAAATACCAAGAGAGGTTGTCATTAAACCGAGAACAAATGAAAGTTAAGTGCTCAAGATAAATCATAAAATCAGTATTAATATATATAGCTTTAAACATGGGTTAGTTTATATTATATATCAAATCTGAATTTTCAAAAATAGTGACAAAACAAAAATAAACAATTTAAACATTTTTTATGTGTATCCAGGTTTTTGAGTAAATCTCAAGATTTTTTTTTTGTGTACCTCAAGGTTTAAAAAAGAAAACGTTGGAAGGTTTTAAGATCACTCTATTTGTAGAGTATTATAATTTATATATCTATATATATATATATATATATATATATACATGTATTAGGACATATTCTAAAAAAGATATTTATGTTCTTAAGATTTTTTATTGGTTCTCACAAGCTTAGATTACAGATTAAGCTTACATTTTTTAAACTTTTATTGGATTTAGGGGGAGCACCAGACTCTTGGACACTTAAGCGAAATTATATAAAAATGTTAGAAATAACAAATATTTTATAAAAAAATTGTTATTTTGAATTTTTTCGCAGAAAAATGACCTTTTTTAACCTAAAAATGAAAAAGTGTATTTTCTGATAATTATTCCATAAAAATCTTAAATAATAGTTTTTTTATAAAATGTTTGTTATTTCTAACATTTTTATATAATTTTGCCTCTTTTGAGACCCAACATGACAACATGACATTTTTTTATATAATATTAGGGAACTTGTCACACTCTAATATATATATATATATATATATATATATATATATATATATATATATATATATATATATATATATATATATATATATATATATATATATATATATATCTATGTATATATATTCGGTCGGATAACTGAAATATGATATCCGGGGTGTCCCGGATATCATATTTCAGTTATCCGACCGGATATCGAATACTCGAATATTTAAAAATTATCCGGCCGGATACGGATAATGTTATTTAACTTTTAGATAAATATTAAATTAAGACAAAAGTTACTGTAATAACCTTTCAAAATGGTGAGTTTTGTATGGAAACTTTTTGAAATTAGTGATAGCTGTGATTCCATTGCTATTTGCATTCCATGTGGAAAGCAGATAAGCAGGGGGTGTAGTAAATCTGGTCAGCAGTCATTTTCTACAACTCCGCTGCATAATCATGCAAAAAAATTTCATTGCAAATTGTACGAAGAGGAAAAAAATTATAAAATGGAATGTTCTTCAGCTGCTCAAGGAAGTTCAAAATGTAGTTCATTGATTTCAAAGAAGAAGTGCGAAATGCAAAAACAGATGTCTGTTGAAGATAGTTTTACATCAAAGAAGATATGGGATATTAATGATGAAAAGTCTAAGCAAATTCATAGAAAAATTGCTATTATGATTGCTTTAGATAAACAACCATTTAGTATAACCGAGGATGATGGATTTATTGGTTTAATGGCTTTTTTACAACCAAGATACCTAATCCCAAGTTGGCTTTTTTTTTTAGAGACAGCAATTCCTCTATTGTATGATCAAATTAAAAAAAAGGTTTTTAATGAAATTGCTAAGTCACAGTACATAAGTTTTACTTTAGATATTTGGACTTGTCCGACATCTCATGAAACATTTATTTCCTTATCAGGACATTGGATTAAAAAAAATTTTGAGCACAAAGATGCTGTACTCTATGCTTCACATTTTCCAGAAGCTCACGCAGGGATAAACATAGCTGGAAAATTTATAAATATGTTAGAAAGCTGGGAAATTAATTCACCAAGAAGACATAATTTTAGTCAAAGATGGTGCTGCTAATATGTCACTAGGCAGTAAACTTATTCAAATATCATCAGTCCATTGCACAATCCACTTATTGCAACTCGTGATAAAGGATGCAGTTTTATCCCAAATATTATTAATAGATTTATTAGCTAAAGCACGTCAAATAGTAGGCCACTTTAATCATTCATCAAAGGCATGTACAGAATTTAAGTTACTGCAACAACAACAAAATGAAAACACACCTCTACTTTTGGTTCAAGATGTGCCTACTTGCTGGAATAGTGCGTACTTAATGTTAGAGCAACTTCAAAAACTTAAAAGAGCAGCTCAAATGTATTTAGCTGATCATAATGAATTGCCAACATTTGCATCAAATGATTGGAAATTCATTGAAAATTTATTATATGTTTTAAAGCCTTTTTATGAACTTACTAATGCTATGAGTTTTGAACTTTGTAGTTTATCAACAGTTGTTCCGAATATATGTACTTTACAAAGATTTTTTATCAAAATTGATCAAAAAGATGATGCAGTTCAAATAACAAAACAACTTATAGAATCTTTAAATAAGAGATTCTTTTCTCATGATAATCTCAATATAACAGATGATGAAAGATATGTTTTACCCACCATTTTTGACCCTCGCTTAATATTTTAAGACCCTTGTTTAATAATTTAAGAGCTTACTCTTTTAGAAGTTTCCACTTCTAAAAGAGTTAGCTCTTAAATTATTAGCACCTCCAGCATCCTCTGTATTTTTGGAGCGATTGTTTTCCGAATATGGAAATTTTTATGAGAAAAAGCGATCGATTGTAACACTGTAGTTCTTCTTACTTTTAATTGCTTTAATAGCAAACCTTGACCTACTAATAGTTTAAAGTTTATTATCTTTCTCAATTTTTTTTTAATAATAATATATTTCTTCTCTACTTGTGTTTATCATACCTTAATTAAAATTCTATTAAATATCTTACTATATATTTTTTATTATTTTTTCCCAATGTAATTTTATTTTAGTTTGGATACTGTTGAGACATGGTTTTAATTTTGTAATTTTCATGAATTGAAATTTACTTTATTGATCATTAGCTAACAGTTGAGGAAAGATAGATTGAATTTAACTTCAAGGTAAGGTAATAATTTTCTTTATTAATGACTTAAGAACTGATTTTTATGCTTAATTATGCAAATGTAAATTATTAACTTTGATCTTATTTTAACAATTTTGGGCTATCAACTAAATAGGTGCTTAATACACAGAAGAGGAATTTTTATTAATTTCCCCCACCCACTGAGCTTATTAGACTCTCCTTTTTATTTATTATAATGTCAAAAGAAAAAGAAAAAAAGTTCAATGTTAACCAACATTTAAAATAAGCATTTTAAACTAACTGATAAAAATAAAAACAGTCTGTGTAATTAAGATTAAGCAATTGTTGGCCTTAAAAGAATTCTAATAAATCTCAAAACAAAAATGTTTCTCTTAAAATTCAAAACAACTGTAATTAAACTTTAGCCACAAGCTGCACACAAAAAAATTGTTTTCCATGAGTTCTGTATAAAGGCCTAATTTTTTTCTAAAAAATTCTGGAAAAGTCTTAAATTTTTCAAAATATATCAAGAAAAAAATTGTTATTTTTTGAAATAACAATGTTTTTCAAAATTTCAAAATTTTTGCTTCAAAATTTTTTTAAATAACATTCGCGGAATGTTATTTAAAAAAATTTTAAATTTTCAAAATTTTAAATTTTCAAAAAATAAAAAAATAAAGCATTGTTTCATTTTGACAAACGTAAACACAGTTTAAAATTTTTTTTTCCAAATTTATAAAGTATAGTACACTGTTAAATAATAGGAATGAATTTTTTTTTATTTATTTATTACAATATTTAATACAATATTTACAAATATATCAATAAGAAAAATTACATGCAAAGAAATCGTTAAAAAATAAAGATAAAGAACGCAGCTACACAAGTAGTATTATAGTTATAATACTCCCCAACCTTCACCATCTGTAAATACATATCCAAGTAGTTCACGGATATTTGAAAATGACATTCTATCCTCGGAAGCAGCAAAATATAATGCATACTCGAAATCTTCATAAAAAGTTTGTTTAGATAAGGGTGTATTATTCTTTACTATTTCTTTTGCACTCAAGTTTCCAGTTGAAATAATTGTACTCAAAATGCTAAGACCATATTCATCAACTTCTGAGAGTAATTTAGGTTTCTTTTTTATAAGTTCTTCAAATTTTTTTAAATCGTTGTCTTTAACCAGCTGAATTCCATAATCTAAATCTTTATCACTTTTTGATGTATAATCACGATCTTTTAAAGATTGATTCTTCTGAAAATTGTTCGCAACGGAGACTGACATCATCTTTCAGCTTTTTTTATTTTTAAAAAGTTTTTAATTTTTTTTCGTTTTATCACGTTACTGAAAAAAAATGTTTCATCTACATTACTTTTTTTTTTTTTTTTTATATATTCATCTACATTATATACTCATATATATTATTTTTATATATTCATCTACATTACTACGTTACTTACATTACTGTTTGTTTGCGCTGGCATAAATTTATATTTAAAAGCATAAACTACACCTATTTTGTACGGGTAAATTGATAAAATTGCATTGTGGGTTAAACGACCGAAGCTATTGTTTTTCTATTGGTGGCCGGGAAGTAAATTGTGAAACCTTATAGGGTAATTCCATGTCAAAACAACAAGTTATATTATAATGTTATATTTATATCGTTATTATTTTATACATAAAATATATATGCGTAACTTATTTTATAATATACATTTTTATCTCTCTCTCTCTCTCTCTCTATCTATCTATCTATCTATCTATCTATATATATATATATATATATATATATATATATATATATATATATATATATATATATATATATATATATATATATATATATATATATATACATATATATATATATATTATATATATATATATATATATATATATATATATATATATATATATATATTTATATATAAATTATGTTAGTCTACAAATAAAGTATATATATAGATATATAAATATATAAATTATGTTAGTCTACAAATAGAGTGCTCAATCTTGAAACCTTCCAAATTTTTTTTTTTAAAACCTTAAGGTACACAAAATATATATATATGTATATATATATATATATATATATATATATATATATATATATATATATATATATATATATATATATATATATATATATATATACATATATATATATATATATACATATATATATATAATATATATATATATATATATATATATATATATATATATATATATATATATATATATATATATATATATATATATATATAATTTGTCAATCTTTATGTCAAACCAGTCTATAAATCAAGCATTAAATTAGATGGCCCATGTTCTTCCATAAGAGGTCTCAAACATAAAATTAGAATGCAGTGTTTTACTCCTCGTGAAATAAATGAATTTCATGCATCGGTTAGCTCCAAAATCCATTTCTTCACAAACAGAGTTTGCCAAATTTAGAACAAACTAATACACATATAGAACAAACAGAGTTTGCCACATTTAGAACAAACTAATACACATATATATATATATATATATATATATATATATATATATATATATATATATATATATATATATATATATATATATATATATATATATATATATATATATATATATATATATATAGACCTTTTAACTCTTTATGTTTTACCGTAAGACTCACGGTTTTATAAAGAATCTTATGTCAAATCCAAAAATCTCAAAGTGAATTTTAAAAAATTTCAAAAGATTTTCTTTTTAAATTTACTTTTGCTCAAAGCAATATAAATACCAAGAGAGGTTGTCATTAAACCGAAAACAAATGAAAGTTAAGTGCTCAAGATAAATCATAAAATCAGTATTAATATATATAGCTTTAAACATGGGTTAGTTTATATTATATATCAAATCTGAATTTTCAAAAATAGTGACAAAACAAAAATGAACAATTTAAACATTTTTTATGTGTATCCAGGTTTTTGAGTAAATCTCAAGATTTTTTTTTTGTGTACCTCAAGGTTTAAAAAAGAAAACGTTGGAAGGTTTTAAGATCACTCTATTTGTAGAGTATTATAATCTATATATCTATATATATATATATATATATATATATATATATATATATATATATATATATATATATATATATATATATATATATATATATATATTTATATATATATATATATATATATATATATATATATATATATATATATATATATATGTATATATATATATATATATATATATATATATATATATATGTATATATATAGATATATATAGATATATAAATATACCAATATATATATATATATATTGGTATATTTAAAAAAAAAAAAAAAAAGCGATCGAGGCTGTTACCTCAACGTTGAGAAATGTTACTATTTATTCATCATAATAGAAATAAATTTATAAATGAGTGATAAACTGATGTTTTTGTTGCGTTTAAGTTTAATAGTATTAGAATAATAAATTATTAATAATAATAATAACAATTTTGAATAGAAACCATTAACATTAGAATATTTAAAAATATAACATTTCTTGGTTTATTAAATCTTTAAATTTCAACTTGAAATATCCGGTTTATCGAAAACCGGATAATGTTATTATCCTGCCAGATAAAGGATATCGAATAATATTGATATCCGGCCCTGATATCCGGCCGAATAGCATATCCGGGACACCTCTAATATATACATTCAGTTAAAATGTTGAACTAAATCTCTTACAAAATATCAAAGTAATATTATATATTAAAACCAAATGAAGTTTTTTTTTTAGCATGCTACAAAAAAGTTTTGAATTGGCCATAAGGTGTATATATATATATATATATATATATATATATATATATATATATATATATATATATATTTATTTATTTATATATATATACACCTTATGACCAATACAAAATTTTTTTGCAGCATGCTCGAAAAAAAATTTCATTTGGTTTTAATATATAATATTATTTTGATATTTTGTAAGAGATTTAATTCAACATTTTAACTGAATGATAAATTCTTTTGATGCTAACTCTACTGTTTTAATAAAATAAACAATACCTTAATATTAAAGACAAAAAATAATATTAAAAACATAAAAACTTATATATATTTAAATGATTGTATTATGTTTATCTGCAAAATAAATAAAAAATTGTGAAAAATGGTAGTACTGTTGCCTAAATTTTTCATTGTCATTTGAAAGATTTTATATCATTTTAGATGCAAACTTTGATACATCAACTCCAGTTTCAAATCCAACTTTGGTTATGGAAACAAAGCACATTTTAGCGACATATGCTGATGTTTGTGCCAAAATAAAAGAACATGAGTTATTGCACACTGTTGGTTATGTTGTAGGTTTTACAAGAAGTATGGAAAAAAGCTTTGAAGGTTTTTATTATGTTTTTAATTTATGCAAAAACTTCAAGATATTTTATGTGTTAATAGTATAAAAAAGAAATAATAATGAAGTTTTGCAAATTGTGTAACTTGATAGTTACACAATTTAAGTAACATGGAATATGAATCCCATGAGTTAGAAAGTCAATTTAGCATTGTAGCTTGGTAGATAATCAATTTTACATGGTCACATTACAGTCAGCAAAATTCAGGTTGGCATTTGGCAATGCCGTTGCAAAAGCCGACCTATCTTTGCTTTAGGACGGCATACAACTGCCAACCTGAATATTCTAAAGTGTCGGCATGCAAATTGAAATATTTTGAATAAAAAGTTATAAAATAATATTGGTTAAATATTATTTTATAATTTTTTTATTAAAACCGATATTTATTCTTTTTTTTTTCAATTTTTTTTTTTTTTTTTAATTTATTCGAGCATAGCAAGGTTAAAAAATATGACTTTTTAAATGCCTGTTTTGCCAGTTTGAATCCTGCGGATTTTAAACTGATGATTCTAATGAAGTAATTTTAATATGGTGTAAAACTTGACAAGAGTATTCAGGACTTTTAAATAATTGTCGTAATAAAAATAAAAGTTGTGCTAAATTAGCAACAGAAACGTTTGTACGAGGATTATCAGTTATAAAAAAACTAGCTTGATGATAATTAGACAGAAAAATCTGATAATGAGTAAATTATGAAAATACGTCAATAAGACAATCACCATTGCAAGGAAACAATGTTTATTGTGTATATAAGATGTATATAAGATAACAATGTATATAAGAAAAAACGTTAAAAATACTAGAAAAATATTTTCAGTATTTTTAACTATTGTTTTACCTCCATCAATTAAATTTCAAAAAACACCACCCCTACTACTTGAGAATTAAATGCTTATTTCTCGTAGAGGTTAAGCAACCGGATATAAACTGTCTACTCATTTTGTTAAACAATTTGCCGTTTTAAACAAAATCTTGGCCTACAGCACGTAAACTAAATTTGTATTTCTAAACAATGTTCTTTCTACGAGCAATCTAAAAAACTAATCAAAATGTAATAAATAAACTCTGACCATTTTTTTTGTAAAAAAAAAAACAACAACTTTAAAACTAATTCATAAATTTGCTATATACTTAATTTACTACACAAAATTTAATTGCTACATTCTTTAAAATATTATTGTCTGAAGCTATGTTATTAGAAAGCAATCCTCTTATAATCAATTAATCATTACCCCTATCGTAACAGAAAGCATGTCTATAAAAATATGTTTTTTAGAAATATTAAAGGAAAATCACAGAGTATTTTTTGAGGATAAAGACGTTTCTTACACTGGAGTACCATTTATTGTTTCATCAAATGGTACACTTGACTGTCACCATGGCAAGGATAAAAATAGTAAAGCTAAAGCTCTGTACAAAATTAAAAAAAATACAGAAGCAGTAAGTAGTACAATAACCCTTTTAAGTTTATTTATCTCTTTTTTATTTTTGCTTCTCTTTATTACTAAACAAATTTTTGTTCTAAATAGGTTATCTATTTTTAAGTTTATTTATCTCTTTTTTATTTTTGCTTCTCTTTATTACTAAACAAATTTTTGTTCTAAATAGGTTATCTACTTCTGTTTTATATTGTAAGAATGATTTTCTCATGTTTTAAAATTACTTTATTCTTGTACAGAGTTCAGATCATTCTTTCAAAAAAAAAAGAATGATTCCACAAATTACCAAGAAGTTTGATTGTCCCGCCAAAATTTTTATCAAAGAAATTATTAAATTTCTTGAGTTTAAGGTATTGTACTCTTATTACATTAATACTTAACTTTTGATGCATGTCAATATTTATTATATTCATAACAATTTAATTTTGTATATATATACATATATATATATATATATGTATATATATATATATATATATATATATATATATATATATATATATATATATATATATATATATATATATATATATATATATATATATATATAAATATATATATATATATATAAATATATATATATATATATATATATATATATATATATATATATATATATATATATATATATATATATATATATATATATATATATATATATATATATATAGCTGGATCGAGATTCTACCAGGATCAGGAAAGAAGTTTCAAAAAAATTACGTTCAGCTTTGATTCAAAACAAACAGTTTTAATGTGCAGAAAATATATTTTGGTAATTCCTGCAATATCTGCTCATAGTAACCATCTAATTGGTGATGTAAGTAGCGCAGTTACATTTACTATTGGTCTTCATGTTTCTATTTATTATAATTATTTTCCACTCTTCTAACTATTAGGCCGCAGGTCTTAATCAACCTTTATGTGAAGAACTTATTTTAAAAATTGGTGAGTTGGTCAGAACTGGTGTCAGTTCTGTTACTGAAATGAGACGTCATCTAAAGACCTTTCTTCAGATGGAATTTAATTCTAATAACATGCTGCAGATAACAAACAAGCGATTTTTCCCAAGTGATAAGACCATTGCAAATCACATGTTGATAGCTAGACAAAAACTTCGCAAGTCCATGATAGATCAAGAATGTCTTTAGGAAAAAATAAATGATTGGAAAATTAATTTTCAAGATGCAATGATAAAATTTAGACCAAAGGGAGGTAATTCAGAAGATAATGATCTTAAAAATTCTTTGTTGTTTGTATATCAAGATATATGGCAAAGAAGATTACTATTAAGATAAGGGAATGAGCTTGCTTTTCTTGATGCTACATACCGAACAACCAGATATGCACTACCTCTTTTTTTCCTCGTCGTTAAAACTAACATTAATTTCCAAATTGTTGCTGTATTTGTGTGTGAACATGAAACCACCGAATCTATTAAAGAAGCACTAATGTGCATCAAAGAATGGAATCCTTTATTTCAACCAAAGTTTTTTATTACTGATTGACAACCAAAGTTTTTTATTACAGATTCAAGTGAAATAAATTCACTTGAATCTGTGTTTTCAGGTTAATAATGTATTTTGTTATTTCGTGGTTGTCAATGAGTTTACTTATCTTAATTACAATAAAGTTTTTTTCTCTATATTTTTTTAATTTTACTATTTACTGTCATTATTTTTATTTTAAGTCATACTTAATTTTAAATTGATTTTAATTTTATTTTATATTAAGTCATTCTTTTCTATGTAATTTAAATTTTTTTATTTGACTTAGGTTCTACAGTGTTTATTTGTGATTTTCATCGAGAACAAGCTTGGGAACGATGGCTCTCTAAAACTGCTAATGGATGTTGCATGGTGAAAGATGTAGTTGTTAAAGATAAGTTTCTTGAAATCGCACATGCAAAAACAATTGAGACTTGCCAAAAAGCTGTTGAGGCATTGGAGGAATCAAAAGAGTGGCAAAACAACCCAAAACTTGTAGAATATTTGAAAAGCACTTGGCCATGCATTCAAAAGGTAGTTAAAGAATGTTGATTATAAATAAATATTTCAAAACAAATCAAAAAATTTTTTTTTTCTTACAACGATTTATACAATATTGTATCTATTGGTTAATTGCGACTATTGGTTTAATTATTTTGTTGTATTTTTATTTTATTTATAACAATTTGTTACTAAAATGTTACTAAGTGTTTATAATCCATTTCTTTCTGATTTCAGCGCTGGGTTGTTGCATATAGGAAAGATCGTATCTTGTTGGATGTCAACACCAACAATGGAACTGAAAGACAGAACCTATCTTTCAAATACAGTTTTTTAGAAAAAAGAAAGAATTCTTCTCTAACAACTATGCTTAGTATTTGCATAGAAGAATTTCTTTACAAATACAACAAGTTAGTTTATACAACTGCTGCAGCAGCACAATTTTCCTACTCATAAATTCCTTTACTAATAAGAGTTCTAAAGTTGTTCTTTGTTATTCACTATACTTATTATTTGACTTAATCTGTAAAACTTTTTGAATATTAACCTGCTTTACTTGAGTTAGCCAAAAATTAGAAATTATACTGAGTGATCTTTAATAATATGATTACTGGATTTGTATATACCAAAACTCTAATTTTAAATATAATCGTTTTATTTTTTTGCGATTGATTAAATTTGACCTTTAATTTTATTTATCTTGTTTTAGTTATTGTGATGAAAATAGAAGAGCACATTCCTCATATAGAAAATATGATGATAAAGTTCCAGCATATTTGATTGATCGTCCACCATCTTTAGTCAAACATTGTATGGCATTGATTGATAAATTACAAGGTGTGGATTTGCGGGGCATAACTGCTGTGACAGACAAATTATACAATGTAGCTTCTTTTAATTCAAATAGTAGAGAGATTTACCAATGCTACCTTGGTGATTCTGAATGTCTGCCAGCTTGTTCTTGTCCTAGTTGGTTTCGTACCTCATATCCATGTAAACACTTTCTTGTCATTTTTCTAAAAGAGAATCTCTCTTGGTCTGCATTTGGCACTGCATATGCAAATTCTCCTTATTTCAAGCTGGATTTGTTTTCAGATGAAAATAGTTCAGCTCATTCCAATAATGTTTCATTATATAATATTCAATAAGAACATATTGAATCGCTACACATATCCTCTCTTATTAAACAGAGTGACAAGGAAGTTCAAAATTTTAATTATGTGCATGTAAATAGTAGTCAGGGTTTGATTGCTAAAAACTACAGTAATCATACCTCTGCAAGCTGTCGTGAGCTCTTAAATGAAATTAAACAAATGAGTTACTTATGTGACTCTCAACAAGCTATTGATAATTTGTTAAAGGGCTTTGTCAACTTAAAACACATTTAGCAGAAAGTCTTCCAGTAGAACAAGGAATTCTGCTGCGTCCAGAGATTCAACCTGATACTTGGAATAAGTCACCCACAAATTCACCAAAACTTAGTCTTCTCCCTGTGCGGCGTAAAAGAAAAATGACTAAGCGTGTTGGTGTTAAATATGACAAATATAAAGCAGCTGCTGATATTAGTGTGATGGCTGAAAAGGAAAGTTATAGTTCTGAAATTGTCACAAGTCACTCAATTGATGAAAACTATGAAATTTTTATGGTTCCTAATGAATCAATTGATATCATGGAACATTTAACTGATGATAGTAACAACTCTGTTGATATGACTGTAAATGAAGATGTTAAACAAGATAGAATAGTGCTGCAAATTCAAAGTCTTAAATCATCTTTGATTGGTCATAAAGAACAAAATGATATCATAAAAGGGCATATGCTTTATGATAACATAATTCAATTTTGTCAGCAACTTATGGCAATCCAGTTAAATATTGATGTTGGACTGCAAGATCCCATTAAAGGACAAATTTTATCTTTTGATATCTGTACAAGTACTCTATTTGTCCAAATTCTTCATGATGGAAATCTTCACTGGTTATGTGTAACCACATATGACTGTAAACCAGGGGAGATATTGTTTTTGACAGCCTTTTCCACGGTACAATCAGCTTAGAGACAAAAAGGCAAATTTGCAATTTTTTGCATTGTCAAGAAAAAAATCTTGTTTTTAAAGTTTTGCCAGTTCAACAGCAAACAAATGGTGTGAATTGTGGTATTTATGCTATCGCCTGGGCTCGTCAGATTCTTGAAACAAAAAGTCTACCATCAACAAATCTAATGTTTGAGGAAAGTGAAATTAGAAGTCATCTTCTAAAATGTATATCAAATAACCAGATAGAGATATTCCCAGCAACTAAAAATCCTTTTTCCTTTAGAAGATGTGCTGCTAAGACTTTTCGTGTTCCTCTGCATTGCATTTGTCGTATGTTTTGGGTGCCTGGAGACGAAGACATATATAACAGGTATGTTGGCACATTTTAATGAGTTAACAACAAAATATTTATAACTGCAATACCTTATTTGGTATGTTGAATTTAACAAATTTTTATAATGTAGTAACAATGTAGTATAATGAAACAAATTTTTATAATGTATAATGTATTTATTTTTTTAAAGGCAAATGGCACAATGCTGTGCTTGTAGTAGATGGTTTCATCGTGAATGCGAAAAAATTCCACTAAGTGCCTATGAGCAGGAAGATGAAATTTGGAACTGTAATGATTGCCACAACCAGTCAAATAAGTAATAATAAAACAATAATACTGTTATACAGCACAGGTATATAATTTTTAATATTACGGACAGTTAATGTCGAACAGTCATAATAACTTGCGTAACATCCAAATATACAATATTAAAAAAAAATGATTTTAGTTTAGGTTGATAATATTTAATTTATGCAGACTATACTTGATTTAATGTAAAACTTTTATGTTGGGAGGTCAATAACATTAACTGACCATAAACATTACATGTAGTATTATGTTACTTTATATAAATTTTATTTTATTATAATGCACGTACTATATATATATATATATATATATATATATACATATATATATATATATATATATATATATATATATATATATATATATATATATATATATATATATATATATATATATATATATATATATATATATATATATATATATATATATATATATATATATATATATATATATAAACATATAAACATATTATCAGATATATTCTGGTAATATACTGTATTAAATATTTTTTCCAATTCATAATAAAAATCATTCTGTTAAAAGTTTGTCATATAATTTGATATATTTCATGAGGTTTTTTTTGTATATAATTGTTATATAACTATTACTTATTTTTAATGATTAGGGTACAGATCATTCTTTCAAAAAAAAGAAAGTTATTTTGCAAAATACAAAGAAGTTTGATTGCCCTGCAAAAGTATTTATAAAAGAAGTAGTAGAGTTTCCTGAGTTTAAGGTATTCTATAAAATATGCATCGGGACATAAAAAAATTATTAGTTTTAAAAGAGTTTCATTTTGTTTCTGCTACTTGGTGCTTTTTTTTTTTTTTTGACAATTTGGTTTTTTTAAACAAATATAAACTAAAAATTAAAATTAAAATACTATAAACTGAAAAGAAAAATAAAAAAAACTAAAGAAGAAAAATGCAAAACTAACTAAAAATAAATAAAAAGCCTTAATGACTTTTAAAATGAATACAAAAAAAAACAAAAAAAATTTATAAGTTTTTTTGTTTTAATTTAAAAGTGTTACACTACAAAGAATTAAAAAAAAATTGATGTTTCAAAGTTATTTGATCCTAGCTTAATTAATATAAACTTAGTTATTTAAAAATCAAAAATTTTGAGATTATTTAATGACCTACAAACAAATAATTTTTTTATGTTTTATTTGCTTTATAAGCAAATAAAACATAAAAAAAATATTTGTTTGTAGGTTTGTAACCAATGCCAATATAACATTATATATATATATATATATATATATATATATATATATATATATATATATATATATATATATATATATATATATATATATATATATATATATAATATATATATATATATATATATATATATATATATATATATACATATATATATATATAATATTTTAATAGTCAGTGTAAAAAAAGCGTGGCTAAGTTGTCAAAAAAAAATTGTATGTTTGGTCAAATAAGGTGTATGATGGGATGCGTCTCATGAGATGTCTTGATATATATATATATATATATATATATATATATATATATATATATATATATATATTACTTATAGTTTAAGCAGTTTTTAAATTACTTGGTTCTATTTGTTCTAGCTGGACAAGGATTCAATATGGTTAAAAAAAGAAATGTCAAAAAAACTTCGCTCAGTTTTGGCTACCAACCGAAATATTTCAATGTGTAGAAAATATATTTTATTATTACCTGACATTTCTTCTCATAAAGACCATGCAATTGGAGATGAAAGTATTACCATTACATTAATGTTAAATTGTCTATGGTTTTTATTTATCAAAATATTTGTTTTTAGGAAGCAGGTCTTATTCAACCTTTATCTAAGGATATTATCAAAAAAATTGATGAGCTAGTCAGAAAGGGTGTTAATTCTGTTCCAGAAATGAGACATCTTCTGGATGCTTATGTGCATATGGAATTTAATTCACTTAACTTACCGCAGAAAGCAAATAAACGTTTTTTCCCACGAAATGAGACTATTGCAAACCATATGCAGAAAGCTAGAAATAATCTTCGCAGATCCATGATAGATCAAGAATGTCTGCGTGAATGAAAAGTATATTGTCTTAATGAATGGAAAATATATTGTCCAGATGCAAAAATACATTTTAGACCAAAAGGAAAAATCTATTCAGACAATGATTTAAATCTTGAAAATTCATTACTGTTTGTTTATCAAGATGTATGGCAACAAAAATTGCTCTATAGATATGGAAATGAACTGGCTTTTTTAGACGCAACATATAGCACAACTAGATATGCCCTTCCGCTATTTTTTTTAGTTGTCAAAACAAACATTGATTACCAAGTTGTTGCAATTTTTGTTTGTGAAAATGAAACCACAGAAGTTATAACAAAAGCACTAATGTGCATTAAAGAATGGAATCCATTATTTCAACCAAGGTTTTTTATGACAGGTTATTCAAACGAGGAAATAAATGCACTCGAATATGTGTTTCCAGGTAAAAATTTCTGTAGTTATGAATTTTTTCTGTTCATATTTATAAGGAAAGTATCTTTAAATAATGAAAAAATCACAATATTAATAAAAAAAAAAAAATTATTTCAAATATAGCACATTTAATCTAATTCCTTTAAAACTTGCTGGTTCTTTTTCATCTTCTTTTGTACTTTTATGACATTTGTTACATTTTTTTAAATTGTTTTATTATTTATTTATAGGCTCTCTACTTTTTTTTATATTTTTTTAATAATAGATTCATTTTAATATATTTTAACTGAGAATTTTTATAAATAAAAACGATTAAAAAAATAGTTTTTTGTTGTAAAATGTTTGCTTTAGAGCGAGAAGTTTTAAATTTGATCCCCACCATGTATTTGTTTGTAACGTCATGTAGATCTGTTAAAACCACAAAAGTGTGGGCCTTAAACCTAAATTGTAAATAATTATATCATTAATTAATAATTTTCTCTATGTTGTATTTTTTACATAAACAAAAAGTCTCTAGGACTTAATTATATACAAAAATAGCATTTGACTAACAAGTTACACTAAATAACGTAACTAACAAAAGTGTAATAAGCTTAATTATAAACTGTTATAACAATTCATAATTAAAATTCTTTTACTTAGGTTGTAAAGTATTTATCTGTGATTTTCACAGAGAGCAAGCTTGGGAAAGATGGCTGTCAAAAACCATAAATGGATGCTGCCTTGTGAAAGATCAAGTTAAGAAAATGCTTCGTGATATTGCACATGCAAAAACAGAAGATATTTGTCAAAAGGCAGTTCAAGGGCTCCAGGAATCACAAGTATGGAAAATACACCAAAAACTCGCTGAGTATTTAACAAACACTTGGTTACCTATCCAAAAGGTAAGTATATAGAATAGGTTGTATATAGAATAAGTTGTATATATCATTATCGCAACAATCTAGATCTTCCTATGTTTATGAACAGTAATGTACTCATTGAGTCATCAATCCTTTGTTTTATTTTAACTCTTAGATTAACTCATAGTTCTGATCTTGTTTGCATGTTTGTTTAAAAAAAAAAGATGTGATTAAATTTGATTTTTTAATACACTTTTTTATAAACTAATTTTTTAAGTAAAAATGGAAAAGTATAAATTTTTATCCCAAAATTCCAAAATTAGCCTATTAATACCTTCTCTGATTATATTGAAATTTGGTCCATGGAGTTCTCTTATGCTCCTACTTAATGTTATAAGATTTAATGTTATAAGTTGCAAAGTTGAAGCTTTTTGTACTATTTATGTTATTTATTTATACCAAATTTTTGATGATTATGTGTTTTATACCAACTGGCCAAAAAAGACATTTATACCACCTGACAAATATATATTAAAAATTTTATCACAATGTTTCATACTAACTGACCAACAGTTTACTTTTTTATTTTATGTTTTAGAGATGGGTGTTTGCTTACAGACAGGATCGTCTCCTGCTGAATGTTAACACTAACAATGGAACTGAGAGGCAGCATCAATCTTTTAAATATAGTTTTTTAGAAAAACGAAAGAATTCTTCAATAACAGCTATGCTAAGTATTTGTATTGAAGAATTTCTTCCTCACAAATTTGACAAGTTAGTTGAGTTATTATTTAAGATATAAAAGTGTATGGAATAGTATATTAAATATATTAAAGTATTTTTATAAAAAGATAACAATGATGAATGTAACGAGTCACAGCATTACAATTAATAATAAATTGTTAACTTGTCTTTGTTATATCAACATAATAATTGTGATAATTTATTTAGCTATTGTGATAAAAATAAAAAGGCATATTCATCATATAGAAAATACAATGCAAAAATTCCGCCATATTTGATTGATCGTCCGCGACCTTTGGTAAAACATTGCATGCATTTAATTGATACATTAAAAGGCCTTGACTTACAAGGCATTAATGCTGTAACTGACAAGATATACAGCGTTGCTTCATTTGATTCAAATAGTCGAGAAATCTATAAATGCTATCTTGGTGATGATAAACATTTGCCTAGTTGTTCTTGCCCTGCCTGGTTTAGTAGTCCATACCCATGCAAGCATTTTTTTGCTATTTTTATAAAAGAAAATCTCTCCTGGTCTGCATTTGGTAGCTTATACAGAAATTCACCATATTTTAGCCTAGATTTATTGACAGATGAAAATAGCTATGCAACCTCTGTAGTATGTCAAGATTTTTTTCATCCTAACAATGTTGGTATTCAAAATAATGCTGTCGGACATGAAACACAATTGTCTATACCTCTTGAACCTCAACCGTTTCCAAATGTACAAGGAATGAATTTTAAAAGTACGATTGCACCAAATAAAATTCAAAGTAGTCACTCTATAATAACATGTCGTGAGCTATTAAGCGAAATCACTTAGATGTCTTATCTATGTAACTCTCAAAAAAATGTGGATCTGTTGTTTGAAGGGTTTTATAAATTGAAAACTGACTTAGTTAAAAGCATTACAAGTGAAAATGGAATTCTTTTGCGTCCAGATAAT